CCCCCTGCTTAGGCAGGAAACCCTACACCACTTTAGACAAATGGTTATCCAATCTCTTTTTAAAAACTTCCAGTGTTGGAGCATTTACAACTTCTGGAGGCAACTTGTTCCACTGATTAATTGTTCTCACTGTCAGGAAATTTTGAATAACTTCTTCCTGTTTTGGTCTTCTGTTTTCCCATGTGAGAATGCGCACCGGCCAGCTGATCATAGCACATACATGCGCGCCAGTAACTGGAGGACTAGCATGCATGCTGGATATCTGAAGTTCTTGTTCTGGCATGTGCACGCTCCCTGGGCAGCTCCTCTTCCAACTCTGTTATTCTGTTATTTTCTCAAAATCCAAGCTAGCAAGGAGCTGTTTCCAGCTCTTAAACCTCACCCTACCTCAAGAGAACCTAAAATGGGACACATTTATCCGCCACTTATTTCATGTGCTTTTAAGCTGTCTCCCTCTCAAGTTAAAACCTGATCACTTACTTCCATGATCTTAGTAATTGTATGTCTGCTCCTTTTATATCCACTTATCTGGGGGAGGGGAGGGAGTCCCATTAAATTCTATGAGATTTGAAGTAGACACTTCTCCTGCCTGGGACTCACGTGTAAAGTTTCACACCAATGCGCAAAGGTCTCAAGCCAGTGCTCAAAATAATAAAACCATCCTCAGTTTGTTGGCTAGATTTGCAAACCACCTGCCAGGTGATTTGGGTTTAGAGCTTAACAAAAGCCTTTCCCCTTTAATAAAGAAGTAAACATGACAAAGGAGTGAATGCTAATATTTACTTATTTTGGCTACATTTGTATTGGCATCCGCAGTCCCTAACCGGCTGTGCCAGTAAACAGGCGAGCTAAAGTTAATGGGGGTTGAAGTTGAAATAGTGAGAAGGGATCATACTACAGATGGCTGAGTGAAGACGTCTCTGCTGTTTTATTTGACTAAGGGAGAAGCCAAATCTTCCCTTTGTTCTCCATGCATCTGAAATTGCCTCTTGCAAAAATTGGGATAAGTCCTGAAATAGATTTTCTCCTGAAGGATCCCAACTTCCAAATAGTGGAATTGTGCTTTTCAAAAATAGGTCCATTAAAAACTTCATGGTTTTTTTATTGCCCAAGATATAGAACTCATTAAAGAGTTAGGTGGGATATAAGATTAACAGAGTTGGAAGGGACCTTGGAGGTCATCTAATCCCTTCTTGGCGGAGCGTCACGCAGGTGCCGTACGCTCTGTGCACAGAAGCCCCGAACAGCTCAAATACAGGTAAGGGACGTGGGGAGGCGGAGGGGGGGGGGCTCCAGAGCGTGGCACGACAAAACCGCGCTCGTCAAAATAGCGGTGATAAAATTGCTTCGCTAAAGCCGCGATGTCATCACCGCCGCGACAACAGCGCGGCGGCAGAAAGCAGATTTAAATTAAGGTAAGGGTTAGGATTAGGTTTAAGGGTTTGTTTTAGGGTTATGTTTTAGGGGTTTGTTTTAGGGG